TGAGGAAGGAAATTGAGACAAGTGGTTGATTAGATGAGCCTCCATACAGTAGACCATGCAATGGGTTCTTTGCTGGAGATCTTCATACAGGCCTGTTATTTGTCAAGTGGATGGGAAGAGATGCCCACATCATTACACAACATGGTGTAAGGGTCTGATATTTTTGAAACAGTTGGTGACTCTGACTTGAGTCTTTGAGTCTACATCACAGCCAGCAATCTAAGTCTCTAATTAGCTTTGAATCTTGTAGCAAAAGATTCTTGAATTTTGGGAGACCACTAGGCTGAGTTGCATATCGAGGGAGTGTGTGTGTGTGTGTGTGTTAAATATAAGAACAGAAACTCTATGTCCCAGTTAAATTAAGCCCATTTGAAAACATCTGTAGGTTTCCTGCCTGATTAAGCTTAGCTTCTTCCTGTTGACAGGCTGTGGGAACAACTTCAAAAGCAGGAAAGGCTGTTGGTTGTCTAAGCATGATTCCCCATCCATTTTGAAAAACCACATTGAAATGTTTTTTTTTCTGAAAAATAACTCATTGGTCACTTCTACATACTGTGAACATAACTAACGTGTGAACCATTGACACAATAGAAAAATACTAACAAAGTTCTACGGACTTGGTCTGTTATTTTATTTTTCATGTTTCTTAAAACAAAAATTAATATATTTTTACAACAATTTGAGTAGTAGTTTTTTTTTCTGTAGACTTAATACAACAGTTAATGCCAGCACCAAAATGTCATAAGAATTGTTCTGTACTGCATGTTTGGTTTTCAGTCTTGGTTACAGTGCTGTCTGAAAACACTTGAGTACAATAGATTGCAACTTTCGTTACTGATTGGGTTACATTTGGTATTTAAACATTGCTTCTGTCAGTGCATTTTTATTTATTTATTATTGCAGTCTTCCATTCCTTTTACATATTGTAAGTACTGTAAGTAAGGTAACAAGGTCAAATTCGTAGCCTGTCACCCAAGCGAATCTCAAAATTTTATTTTCATATTTCTATACTGCCATCATGAACTGAAAAAAACAACCCATGATGTTGAAATAATGAAATGGTAAAATTTTATATTATGTCCCCCCTCCCCCATTCAGGCTATTTACAGTCCTGAATTGAAACAAATAATTGAACAATTCATTTGAAAAAAAAATGTAAACCTTTATACAAAGAGGAAACAAACTATTCCAGTTCAAAGTTTAATTAGCAGTTCAGGTCATGGCCCTGAATATAAATACTAGAGATATTTAACAAGTGTATCTTACTGTACATCTGAAATCTTCAAAGACTAAAAAATAAATGGAAATCTGTTTTGTTGAAAGGTATTAATTCTTGTATTTTGAGAGTGGTGTTTCCAAGCTCCCTATCATCATCATCAGAAACAAAAATCTCACAAGCTTCATCATGGCAAACAGAATTGTATCAGTTTTATGATAATATTGGTTATGCCATTTGATCAGCACAATATTGAAATCTCCATGCTAAACACTATTAGTAGCAGAATGTTTCTGCAACAAATCATGCATCACATTAGTGTTGCTCTTTAAACCTTATTTGGGTATAAAACATCTTGAGACAAGGTGGTCTATGCCCCTTTGATTGATGGTATTCTGCTTCATTGTTGTGCCAAGCATTTGGTGGTGTGGGGGTGGTTTGGGACATGTGTTGATATAAATGAACATGGGTTCAGGCTGCTGCATTCTTTGGAAGGCTCACATGAGTGTTTCAGACTATCTGGGCACATATGGGGCACCTATTACTTTTGTTTGAGCCAAGGTGGCGCAGTGGTTAAATGCAGCACTGCAGGCTACTGCTAGATCAGCAGGTCAGCGGTTCA